CCGAACTTGTTGTTTAGGGATAATTTATTGAGCATGTCAATCACCTGTAAACTGAGGAAACGAAACTACTAAATTACCTCATCCTCGTGAATTCTTTATCTAATTGATTTCTTAGTTTACTTTGTTGTTGTTTACTGCATCTTGTTACCTGTTGTTTAGTTTTTGCATTTTCTCCTTTTACTCGACCACCTAGTTGTCTGGCAACAGACTGTGCAGTCGAGTATCTTTGTTTCATTTACTGCCTTTTACTCAACCGGTCATTCGACCACACCCAGTGCTCTGCAACGAGCTGTGTTGGTCGAGTGTTTTATTGTTTCTGCTTGATTTTCTATTTTCTGCATGTTCACTTAGGACTGCTAGAACACACCAAAACCAGTTATTGCTTGGCTTGACTTAGTGACTTCTGATCACATCTTGATTGTTAGCAACATAACCCTTTGGATTGACAACCTAAAATACTACAACGACATGATTGGTGTTTTAGGACAATTGACTAAAAACCTATTATCAATTTGGCGCCGTTGCCAATTGGGTGTTTGTTTGTTACATTTGATATTTCAAACTTGCTTAGATCAAGTTCTTTTTCAATTTTCAATTCAGTTACTAACTGTGTGTTTTTCTTGTTGTCTTCTTGATCCAGGCACACCTCTTCTGTATGCAAACTCGATCAACAGGCAACCATAACCTCCTTTTCAACAATAACATCGACCGCATAGCTCGCGAACTCAGAGAAAGGAGAAACACAACCAACCTAATAGCACAACAACCACTCGATATGGCTGACGAACAAAATCAACAGAATGGCCCTGCCAACATTGGTGCTTGAGATGCACAACGGGACCATCGACAGAGGAAAGGAATTACACCTCCTACTATCCAGAACAATAACTTCGAGATTAAGAGTGGTCTCATCTCGATAATTCAGGAGAACAAATCCCATGGTCTGCCAATGGAGGATTCACTCGACCACCTTGATGAAGTTCATAGGCTCTACAACCTAACAAAAATCAATGGTGTCAGTGAAGACGGATTCAAGCTGCGATTGTTTCCATTCTCATTGGGTGACAAAGCACACATATGGGAGAAGAATCTGCCACATGACTCAATCACCACCTGGGATGATTGCAAGAAGGCTTTTCTAGCAAAGTTCTTCTCCAATGCCAGAACTGCAAGACTCAGAAATGAGATCTCTGGTTTTTCACAGAAGACTGGTGAAAGCTTCTGTGAAGCATGAGAGCGTTTCAAGGGCTACACCAACCAATGCCCTCATCATGGTTTCAAGAAAGCCTCTCTGCTCAGCACTCTTTACAGAGGAGTTTTGCCACGCATAAGAATACTTTTAGATACCGCCAACAATGGGAATTTCCAGAACAATGATGTTGAAGAAGGCTCGGAATTGGTTGAGAACCTAGCTCAATCAGATGGTAATTACAACAAGGACTGCGACAGGACCATCAGAGGCACAGCGTAATCTGATGACAAACACAGGAAGGAGATCAAAGCGCTGAATGACAAGCTGGACAGATTCTACTTAGCTAGTAGAAGCATGTGCACTTCCTTGTTGATGACGAGCAGTATCAAGTTCAAGATGGGGAGGGGAACCAGTTAGAAGAAGTTAGCTACATCAACAGTCAAGGTGGCTACAAAGGATACAACAACTTCCAAACCAACAACCCCAACCTCTCCCACCGCACCACCAACGTCGCTAATCCTTAAGACCAAGTGTATCCTCCACAACAACAACAATGTCTGAACAAACCTTTTGTTCCCTACAACCAAGGTTTTGTTCCCAAGCAGCAATTTTGGGGAACTATCAGCCGCAACCACCACCTGGGTCTGCACCTCAGCAAAACCAAGGTCCTACTGCTCGTGATGCTGAAATGAAACAGATGGTACAACAACTGCTACAAGGACAAGCATCTAGCTCCATGGAAATTGCTAAGAAGTTATCTGAATTGCACCATAAGCTGGACTGCAGCTACAATGACTTGAATGCCAAAGTGGAGGCATTGAATACCAAAGTCAGACACTTGGAAGGACAATCAGCATCTACCTCTACACCTAAAGTTACATGACTTCCTGGGAAGTCAATACAGAATCCAAAGGAGTATGCAACTGCTCACGCCATCACTATCTGCCATGATCGAGAGCTGGCAACTCGACCTGTTCCTGACTTAATCACTAGGGACAGTGATGTTCAAGAAGGGGAGTCTTCTACTCAGATTGAAGTCTCTGTTGTTGAATTCAACCATTATGTTGGTTCTCGCTATCTCATTCAATCCACCTCGGAAGAGAAAGCAGCCATAATTGAGAGGATTGTAAAACGTTTCAAACCTACTCCATTACCCTCACGTGCTCTTCCATGGAAATTCAGGAAAGTCTAGATGGAGAGATACAAATCTGTTGCAGAGAAACAGCTTGACGAGATTGAAGCAGTGATGCCACTGATGGAAGTTCTCAACCTGATTCCTGATCCTCACAAAGATGTGAGAAATATGATACTGGAAAGGATCAAGATGTTTCACGATTCAGATGATGAATGTGATGCTAATCCATCACCAGATGCTGATAGGAGGATGGTTCAAGAAAAATTAGAAGATCCTGAATCTTTTACTCTACCATGTTCCATTGAGGAATTAGCTTTCAGCATTTGCATGTGCGATCTCGGAGCCTCTGTCAGTTTAATGCCACTCTCTATGGCAAGAAGGTTGGAATTTGTTCAGTATAGGCCTTGTGACCTAACTCTGATCCTTGCGGATAGATCTTCAATCTACCAATCATAATTAATGGAGTGGTAATGCATACAGACTTCGTGGTGCTGGATATGGAAGAAGTGCATAAGGATCCCCTAATCCTGGGAAGACCCTTCTTAGCCTCAATGGGAGCAATGATAGATGTAAGGGAAGGGAAAATAAGTCTCAACCTTGGAAAGCACATCAAGCTGCAGTTTGACATCAACAAAACTCCACAAGAGTCAAAAGAAGATGAAAAAAACTCTAGAGACGATAGAGTGATCCCAGGAGAAGGGTATGAGACTTAGAATGTAAAAGAGCTTAAAAAGAGGTCTGATTAGCAAGGAGAAACTATAGAGAGGCTAGCCCACTCTGTTGAAGAACTTAGGAGTAAGCTGAATCAAATGCAGAAGGAAGCTCAACCTAAAGGCGGGATTAACACTATCCCGAGAAAGAAGTTCACTTTAAGATGGTCTGAAGAGATAGATTACCCTCTAGAAGAGAAAGAAGCATATTTTGAAGAGAGGGGAATTGAGTATTCTGCTGCAGACCTTTCTAGGGAGGACGCTGAATATGATGATGATACAAGAGAGGACTATGCAGACCCTCTCTATCATTCATTTTCTTCTTGATAAGTGTGAGGAGTCAAGCTAGAGACTTTAAACAAGCTCACTTGGGAGGAAGTCCCATGATTATCCTTGTAAATAATTTTTACTTTCTTGTTATTTTTGATTTATTTTAGTTGTGTTTGTGGTTCTCAGGAATAGAGTGAAAATTCAAAACTCTTCAGCTACAGAGAGCCTGGAGATCGAGTGTATTAGTCGAGTATGAGTGATGTTTAAAACCCAAAAAAATTTAAATCATCATTTTACTCGAGCAACAGAAGCTACAGAGTCTTACAGTGAGTTTCTCAAGTTTATAGAGGATTACAGGATTTCTTGAGGTTCTTCCAGTGAACAAAGAATAGAGAGACGAAACAAAGAGACAAACGTGGGACCCACCGCTTACACCTATGTCCCCCATGCAGCTGACCAGAAGACAAGAATCTATCTTCTTCTTCTCTCCACCACTCGACTCCCTTATCCCCTTTACTTGACCTTGTAATCTCCTCCTCACCACCTCATATATTCGACTTCATCTCTCCCACTTCTCTCCCCATAAAGCACTCGACTTCCATCGCCATTATCATCCTCACAACCTTCACTCGATCTCTTCAGCATCTCTCATTCATCTACTCGACCGATGAACACTTATTACCTTCAAGCTCCTCATCTCTCCATCGCTTCCAACGCCGCTGCTCCCATCCCCACAAAAGCTCATCACCACCTCTCATTCATTACAATTTCACTTGATTCACCACACTTGACCGCGCCTCTCTTGCCTCTCACAATCACTCGATCTCTCATCACCATCTTCATCACCTCCTTTACTCGACCACCGTGAGTCTCGTTTCACCATCACGAGTTTTCATGCTCACTAGATTGCCAAATCAAAGAGAAGAAGAGTGAAGCTCTACCACCGAATCAATCACTCGACTTCTTCAACATCTCCACACCAGTTCTTGTTTATCAATCACTCGATTCACTACAAGATCACCTTGAACACGCTTCACCATCTCTCATCTTACCCGATCGCGTGTAAGAACAAGCTCACCAAACAATCCAGTGAAGCGTCTACAACTCGACTCGCATTTGCCACGCGATCGAGTACTTGAAGGTTTCATCATTGCTCATTTCGGTTTGTTTGCAGAATCACTCGGTCACATCACATCACTCCACCAAAGAGTTCACTCGACCCCATCAAATCTCTCCTCACTAATCGGTTTTTAGCTCACTCGATTCGCCACACTCGACCGTAAGAAGTCTCGCCGCTCAAGTTCACTCGATCGTTCCACTTCAAGTTTACCGAGGAGAGACTCGACCAACAACGCACAATCCGAAAAAAAAACAATTTCAAAACCGACCGGTTTACTCGACTGGTTTCCTCGACCGGTATACACTGTTAGATTGTGTTTTTGTTTTTGCTGGAACTAACGTATTAACGTTTATCTTTGAGTTTCATCTGTTTTCAGGTTTCATCATGAGTAACTATAGTGGAGAATCCTCTATGGATCCTAATTATAATGTAGATGAAGCCGAGTCTTGGTCCACTAGACCAGAGAGAGAAGAACACGTTTACGAGAGCTTGAAGATCTTTATTTCGAGGGCAGTCTGCCAACTGAGGAGTTCAGTCACACCGAAGGAGCTACGACACAAGATGTTGATGAGACAGATGAAATAGATGAGGCGAGCATGTATCATTTCAGTGAGCATGTACCTCCAGCAAGGGAGCAAGAGTTTGAGCGAAGCTCATAGGCACAACAGCAAGCTGCAGAAGTGGTGCAAGAAACATGATAAGTTGCTCGCCAAGTGCCTCAGAGCTATCAAGTTTCTGAAGGATAAGCTAAGCTGCTCCTCTTCCACTACAGCTATTCCGCAGGGACAGAACCCTCGTGACATGCCCTCGAGGAGATATGACGCGCCTGAGCGAGGTTGGCGCAGGCCTAAGCCTAGTGAGCAGGAGATTCCGCATGTCCATGCGAGGCATTCATCATTCGAGCCTCGTGAATCTGAGAGAAAGAGGAGGACCACACTCACTCGATCTAGCAGCAAGAGTAGACGACTTCTACAGTACATTTAGGATCGAGTCTAGAGTGTTTCATTTAAGATTGTTGCATATGCATAGGGGATAATGATGAGATAGCCTTGTAAGCATTTTGGTTCACCGGATAAACTCAGTGCCCTTGTTTCTAGTTGCCTGTTGCGTAGTCAATGAAATTGAAGTAAAACTGAACCATGCCTAGATTGCTCTACTCGACCACACTGTCATGATTTGGTACCATTCCCTATCAATTTGAACCTGAATCTGATCTTTAATTATCATGTCTGCATCAAATTTGAACTCATGGATACCCTAAAATACTTGGATTTTCTTATTCATCTTGACCACTCTTGTTAATCCAAGTAGCTGACTCTCCTTATTAGAGCAGTTAACCCGAGCCCAAACCTAGACTTTCTTTCGAGCCCTATATCACTTGTGAGTGTTTGTGAGGTCTTATTCTGATTAAGCTTGGTAGAAAGTGTTAGGTTCGTAACGACAGAGATAGTGTCTCATGTAGTTCTAGTTTGCATTTTCCGGACTAGATAGGACTAGGTGGGCGCTTATACTTTGGGTTGGGATGTGTCTAAAAGAAAAAAAAAGGGTTGATTCATTGATGAGAAAAGGTAAAAGACTCTAGGTGAAGTAAGTTAAAGAAGCGGAAAAAGTCTAGCAAAGGTTTTGGGATTTGTAAAGAAAAGAAAGAGTTCTTGTTAGCTATTGAAGAAGGGCAAAAGCCCTCGGTTTTAAAATTTTAAAATCAGGAACCATAGTTGTTAAAGAAATCCAAATCCACTAGATATATCAAAATGTTGAGAAAGCTTCTCCTAGAGTTATGAGAAAAGAAAAGAATGATTAGAAAAAGGCTTAAAAGATTCATGAATGCAAAGGGTAGAGTTAGGTTCTTATATTGGGATTAGAGATGGGATTACCATTAGAGCTTCATTTGATATACTCTGGGTAGATGGGATCTTATGTCTGTATGCATAGCGTGGGACTTACCTTTAGCATTCTACTAAAGTTTAATCATTTTTTTGAGAGATCCCCTGTTACTGAAGCCTATTCTGTAAGGGACCATCTTTGTCACTTGACCTTTACCTTAGCCAAATGAGTTCATTGATCATGCATTGCTTGATAGATGTTAAATGGGATTCGTAGATTTGAAAACATGTGTAGGTCGAGCATAAGAGTCGGATTGATTGATAACAAGGCATGGCTAACGTTTTTGAGTAGAATTTGATCATATCGCAGCTTAGAACTATCAACTTGGACATTGATTTCATCTGGTTTATCTAGTGTTTTGGCTCTGAGTCCCCGCTTTCAAACCTCACCTCCAGCTTGTTCTTAATTGTTTGCTTGAGGGCAAGCAAAGACTAAGCTTGGGGGAGTTGATAAGTGTGCATTTTGCCTGTTTTGAGCATCCATTTGTCATCACTTTAGCATCATATCATAACTGTTTTATATCATTTCTCATCATTTGTCATCACTTTGCATGTTTAGGATAGTTTTGCATGCATGTTGCATATTTGTGTTGTGTTCAGGTGATTTGGAGTTGTTGGCGAGATAATTGGAAGAAGCGGACCTGATCACTGCAAAACACTCGACCCCCTGGTCGAGTAGATGGTTCCACGACTTCAACAAACCACTCGACCCCCTGGTCGAGTAGATGGCCTCATCACTTCACAACACCACTCGACCCCCTGGTCGAGTACCGCCAAGACAATAACTCGATCACATCACTCGACCCCCTGGTCGAGTACCACCAAATCACCTTCACTCGATCACACTACTCGACCACATGGTCGAGTACCTTCATCACCTTCACTCGATCACTGTACCACCAATCCGAGTATCACCATCTCTATCACTCGACTACATACTCGACTCAGCTTCAGCGTCTTCTCCATTCCGCATTCAACCAGACACTCAAGCACGAGGAAGAAAAGAAGACTCCAGTCTATCACTCGACCACTACCTCGACCACCTGGTCGAGTACCGTTCTTACTCCGTCCCAATACTGCGTCGTTTTGAGTATTAAGGTTTTGGAATATTTCGCTATAAGTAGCATGTGCCTGTTACTCGACGTTATACTTGACCACCCAGTTGTCTGGCAACAGACTGTGCAGTCGAGTATCTCTGTTTCATTTACTGCCTTGTGAGAGTCAAAACTCGCACAATAGAATTTATTTTAAGGGTTTCTTCAAAGAACGGATCTTTGTGAGATTCTCAAAGAACAACAGAATTCTCAATTACCGCGGACGGTGTTCTTGATTGTATTAATGAGAAAGTAAAGATTTGATCGTACAAGTGTGCTAGAATATGAAAACTAGGTGTTTTTGCCTTCAAAGTCAGAGCGTTTTAGATAGCCTGAAGTTGAGAGCGTTTTTGTGTGTCCTTTTGTTTGTCCTCTGAGGTGCTTTTTATAGAGTCCGAGAATGTCACCTCTCGCGATATTCTCGGAAGATTTCTCTTTATCTTTATCTTGTTGAAGGAGATTGCCCTTATCTTCTGAAGATTCTGGGATTTCTATATCCGGTGATATCTTCGAAGGTTATCTCTTCCTAGGTTCTCGGAGATGATGTGTTTTGGACTTATACCGGCTAAGTCTTTTGAAGTTTTCCTCGTCTAACCCGAGACTCTTCCGAGCCGTGATTAAGGTGGCCTCGGGTCGTGCTCGGGATGCTCGGTCCGCGGTATTCCAAGACAAGTTCCCGAGGTGTCTTGGAGCCCGCCTCGGGACGATTTGCCAGGTTTTATGCCCGAGGCGTTTCGAGGTCGGGTCGGGGGACCACTTCATGAGATTGCTCTGAAGCGTTCTCGACATCGCCTCGGTATGGATTCTTGACGAGATCTCCGAGGCGTTTTGTGGCCCGATTCAGGATAACTCATCGATGTCTCCCGAGGCGTTGAGGTGTGGTCGGCTCGCTATCCTGGGTGAAATCCGACCCCAACAGTTTGCCCCCCAGCTCAGTGACTTAGCAGAAAGATGATGAGCTTCATGAATGGATTCCCGAGCAGACTGTTCATCTTCTAGTTCAGTCGCTTCATCTTCTCGAACGGTCAAACTTCTGTCGCGTGTCGCCGACTATTCTTGAGGAGTGGAAACGTTTCTCGCTTGTTCCCGAGGATCATTCAGATCTTTTTCTTCTGCCGAGCCCACGCGCTTGAACGCGTTCTGAATGTTTAAAGCGGATCCGACGCGCCTTTGAAAAACTCTATATATACGGCGAGCCACTCCTTCAATACTTCATTTGAAGTTTTCGAAGAAAATAAACAAGGTTTGCTTCCTTCTCTCTGATCTTGATATTTCTATCGTTTTTTCTTTTCCGGCGAAGCTCCGTCGTTCTTCTTGTTATTTTTGATTTTGCCGGGATAGAAATTCTTGTTTTCCGGTTGTTTCCCTTCTCGTCTAACGTCCCGAGCCGAGAATGAGTTCTAAACAATCACCGTCGACACCGAGCGCTTCTTTTGTCGATTCTTGCGATTCAAATCATCTAGATGATCTTCCCTCGATCTACAAACGGAGATCAGTTTGGACGTCCTCTGAAGATACTGTTTCTTCTTCGAAATTCTCCGAGCAGACGACTCCCTTCACGGCTCGGGAAGACACCAATGCCGATATCGCTCAGGAATTGGATTTACCCAAGGATCCCGAGCCGCCTCTCGTTCGGAGGTCCTTTGCTCCTATGGCTGACGAAGCTGGGACTTCCAATTGGCAAGATGTGCCCGAGCCCCTCTTAACGAGCAAAAGGCTTTCGAAAAGACTGAGAAGAAGAAAAGGAAAAAGAAGAAAAATGTGGTAATGCCAGATCCTCCAGGTTCGTCGTTGTGCACCGAGCGGTCTCTCTCGGACCTTAGGGCTCGATTTAGTCTTGGCGCTGTAACCTTGCGCGTTCCGAGCCCTGAAGAGCGAGCCGACAATCCTCCTGCAGGTTTCTATACTTTGTACGAGGGGTTCTTCTATGGTTGTTTCTTGTGGCTGCCGATCCCGAGACTGGTCTTGGAATATGTGACGTCATATCAGATCGCCCTTTCCCAGATCACGATGCGGTCTTTGAGGCACCTGCTCAGGATTTTGATTCGGAGTTACGAGTCAGAAACGGAGATAACGTTGGCTCATCTGAGAAATTTTCTCGAGATCCGGCGGGTGCCAAAATCCGAAGTAGACCGGTACTACATATCCCCCGCTAAGGGAAAGAAAATTTCTTCTTTGTAGCCATTGAAGACGCTGTTCATGAAGATCTCCTCGGGACTGTTCTGACGAGATGGGGAATTTTGGGTAGTTGTAGTCAGAAATTTATTAGTACCTGAGGCGATGTTAATTTTGTTCTCTAATTGTAGTTTTCCTTTTGCAGAACGCACTCTCAAGTTCCTCGAGCCGATTCCAGACGACTTTCTTTCGGCTTTTCACGCGTTGTCGGCTCGAAAGTGCGATTGGCTGAAGCATTTCTCTCGGGAGCGAGTTGAACGTGCGCTTCATCTTCTTCACGGTGTTTCTTGTCCAACTAGCTCGGAGTCTTCCCACCATCGCACTCAGTTTTTCGTAGATATGCAATCGACGAAGCTTACTCTGCGGGAGGTCTACGCCAAGAAGAAAAAGGACAAGGAGAGGCGATTGGCGGAGGAGAGGCGCCTTGTTAATGCGGGATTGATGTCGCCGCGGGCCGATCCCGAGGCGACCCAAGATGGGAACATTATTCCCGATACTGCCGCGCCGGTTGACGCAGCGCCCGCTGAGGCTCAGGGAACTGAGCCGTCTGTTGCTGCGCCCGAGGCAGTTGTGGCGTTACCTGCAAGTGACAAAGCTGCGGGTAAGCGCATTCGGGTTGACGATGAAT